CCGGAGAGGCTGGAGGAGTCCCCCAAGCAGAGGAGGGGGTGAAGGAGGCTGGGGGAGCATCCCGGGCAGGAGAGACAGGAGAGGCAGGACTTGGCACAGAATTCACCTCCTTCTGCAGGAAAGGGCTGCGAAGCTTGCCTAGAAAAGGATCAAACGTGCTGCAGGAGCCGGGCAGGCGTCGAGGCTTCCAGCCGCATGGCGACAGCCCCGTGGCTCCCCAGGAGTTAGTCACTGAAGGGTGTTGTTGGATGCTTTTTGCCTTAGGAGCCCACTGCTCGGTTATCCTCCTAAGCAGGATTTTCCAGCTCTAATCCTGGTTGTGGAAAACAAGTTTGTCTACTGGTTACAGCAGTAGCTGCAGCCAAGCAAAAAAAAAAAAAAAAAAAAAGACACAGTTTTGGGGAGGAAGAGTAGCTGGAGCACACCACCCCCCCGGTCCTGCTCTCCACCTCTCTACGGTGATTTTCAGAGCACCCTGGATTTCACAGACATTAGGACCGGCAACTGGGAGAGGCACGATTCGAAGTGCTTGCTGCCAGCCTTCTAAGCCAGCGTGCTTTCCTTTGGCAGAAGGTAACTACTCGCTGTTATCTCCCCCATCTATGCCAAGAACGCAAACAAAAGCAAAGCAGGAGAGTTACGAGACAAGCCCTACCCCAGCGCAGCAGTGAATAAGCACCAAGACTGGCCAGCCTACCCTTCGTCCATGGGTTTTATCAGTGCCAGGGCATTTGTCTTCCCTTCCTCCATTGAAAAACATCAAATACCAACTCAAACATGGGAAATCCCAAGGGATTTCTCACCCTCAGAAATAGGCCTCCCCCCCAGGATGTTTAAACAGCAAGAAAGACATTTTCCTGCCGTGGGGTTTCACCCTGTCCCACTGATGGCTTGCCTACGCAAGAAAGCACATTTGTGCTCCTATCGCAAAACAAAAGCGCTTATTCCAAATTAATTCAAGCTACTTTCAGGGAGGTTGAGCTGAGGAGGAGACATTCATCCAGGGATATCACGTGTTCTCAGTGACTTCCTCAGCTAGTTTCAGCTTTGCTTTTCACAGCTTCCTGGTTTCTATCTGGTAGATCAGATCAGTCTCTTCTAAAGGGACACACTCCTGTTGGTTCAGGCAGTGCAAAAAGATCGGGCGGAATTTACGGTACTCAGGATAGATTGCAACAGTGGTCCCTTTCTGGCATTAATATATTTAATTTTCATTTTAAAAATTAAATTTACGCTTCACGTGTCGAGTCAAAGTACGGAAAACTTCAGTCTCGGCTGTTAAAACCTGGCGCAGCCCGCAGCGAGAGCCTTACCATGAAAAAACATTGCGCGAGCTGGGTGTGAGACACTGCTCTGCCTATGGCAGAGAGCACCGGGTGTGATGAGAGCTACCCGTGCTCAGTGGGAACCATGGCCTCACGGGTAACGCGCCCATCCCAAACACGTGCTCCCCGCACTGGGAGCGCTCTCCGTGCACAGATTCCCCCGGTGCAGGGAACGGGAAGCGGCTCACACTGCCTGACCCGCCATGAGCGTTGCGCCCCGCGCCGTACCTGGCTGGGAAGCCGTCACCGTGTCCGCCGGCACCGACTTCTCCCTCTGCTTGAAGATGTCCCGGGGGTTCACCGCCCTCTGCGCTATCAGCGACGCAGCCTCCTGCGAAGGTGAAGAGCGCACAGACCCCGCGGTCAAGGCCTTGATGGGGGGAGCAGCACCCCCACCGCCACGCAAGGCGGGGAGCCGAGCTGACGCAGCCTCCCCAGCAAAGCGCTCGGGCTCCTGGCAGCGTACCTGGGCTTTCTCCACCGATTCACTTCTCTTGAAGCCCTTCCGCTGCCTGGCCTCGTACTCCTCGGCTTGCTCCTTCTGCAGCACAAGAGAGGGTCTGCTACAGCCTTGGCGGGCACCAAGCCAGCCCCCTCCTTCCCCAATCCAGCCCCAAGGACCGAGAAATGGGAACAAGGAACAGACACGGCCATGCAGAGCGAATGGGGAGGAAACCCCCTGGATCTGGGAGGGAGCGCAGGAGCTTTGCTGGGCTGAGGATAAGCACTTGGTTTCCTCCGGTGTCCCCAGGCTCTTTTCCAGAGTTTTAAACTCTGCTTTCCCCAGGGGCTGCGGCTGGACCGGCCGTTGGGAGCACACAGCCAGCATGAGCAGAGATATAAAGCGAGATCCAAGGAAACCCAAGCCCATCCAACAAAATCGAGGATGGACAAGAGACCTGGAGGACCAGCTCGTGGCACCTCTCCTGCCAGAGTGTGTCCGTGGGCCTTTCCACCTCCCCCTCCTGCCGTGACAACACCCAGGGTGCTCCTCCACCACCCCCTGCCTCTGCCCACAGCACGGTCTGCACCACGGCACCCTGTCCTCTCCGTCACGGGGGATGTATGAAGAAACCTCGCCACGGGGGACAACGCCGAAGCTCACCCATTGCTGCTGCTCCCTGTCCCTGTTCTCTGCCTCCTGCTGCTGCTGGAGTCTCCTGCGGCGACAAACGACAAATCAGGGTTAACAAAACAGGCAGGACAAGCGGTTTGCTCTGCACAGGGCTGCCCTGGGACCTCACCCTGCTGCAGCTACGCTTTGCTTCTTTAGGAAGACCAAAGGAAGGAGAATCCCCCTCACCTCCGAGGCCAGACGAGGAGCCACAGGCCACCCCCGGAGCCATGCAGGGGGAGAGAGGGGCAGAGTAGCAGGAACTGCTTCAAATAGTGGGACCAAACTGGGGAAATCTCTTCCTTCAGGGGCACAGACAAGGGCACCCGGCATGGCAGGGCCGGGCAGAGTTCCCCATCTGAGCTCAAAACAGGAAGGCAGTGCCCACTCCTGCTCGCCGAAGCGAACTCCACCACCTAACAGGGGTCACGCTGGGCTCGGAGAGGAAGGAAATCAGCACAATGCCAGTCCCGGCACACGCTGCCTCCTCTCTGCAGGGCGCAGAGCCCTCCACCAGCCGGCCCGGACCTCCGGCACCCCATGAATGGTGGCCACAGGTTTCAACAACGTGTTTCAGAAGCACCCTGCAAGGGGGTGACCCGGTCCTGGGGGCAGGATCCATGGGCAGGGAGACCCATGGGTGACGCTGGACAAGCAGCCAGGCTTGTCGGCGGTTTGGCCGGGGAGAAGATGCGCTCTCCCCCCCAGGGGCTTGCTCAGGAACACCCAGCCGGAGGAGCCCACAGGTCAGCCCGATCAGCCAGGCCGAACCTCCACCACCACTCCAGGAAGGTGAGCAAAGGTGAACACAACTCATTCGCACGTCGGCAGGAGCAGACCGACGTTCGGGTTGTGCGGGGGCTATCAGGAGGATCGGACCTGCGGATCGCCGTGCCCGAGGGCAGCGTGCCGTGGGGGCGGCCGGGCTGAGCCTGCCCCAGCGCAAGCCAAGGCAGATCCCCTCCGCAGCTGCTGTCTTAAAAGAGGTTTCCTGGAATTGCAGCGATTGCAGCAGCATGGAACGCATGGACACGATCTGCCACTCCCTGAGGAGCAACCCGCTGGCAGCGCAGGGGCTGGAGAGGGGACAGCAGCTCGGAGGAGGTGGTGACAAGGGCACACAGCACCACTGAGAGCAAAGCCGAGAGATTCCCAGAGCGCGGGACGGGCTCTGGGAATCATTACGAACGCTCAGCAGTAGCAGGGACTCACTTCTGGGCTTCGATTTCATTGGATCTCGCTTTATATCTCTGTTCTCGCCCCGCCGCTTCCTGCAGCTCTCGCTCCCGACGCTCTCTCTCTAGCCGCTGCCGCTCCTCCTCCGCTCTCCTCTTCTCCTCCAGCCGGCGGTTTTCTTCATCTTTCTAATGGGAGACGTGCATCAAGTTGTGGGTTTAATGCTGCCAGCTCTGAGAACCCCCCCCTGTTCTTTGCACACCGCGCTGTGCCACCAGCCGGCACGGCAGATCTCCTGGCAGCTCCCAGGACGTGCGGCGCCCGTAACGTTTCCGCAGCCTGAAGATTTCACGCACTGTTGCTAAACCCCTGTGAAACCCCGGTGTAGAGCAACCTGAATGGGAAGCAAATACAGAGCAGACTTGCCCTGCTGCTCAGCCTTGGAGAGCTGCCTTCAGGAAGGTCAAAAGCCAGCCCCCTCACCCAAATGGAGTTTGCCAGCCACTGGGATTTGGCTGCAGCCCAGCCCTCTCCCCCTGCGCCTGCCCCAGCAGCCCTGAGCCAAATTAAGATGAGATAAAAAGCATCTTGCTCTTCAAGACCAATTTCCTCCTCCCCTTCCACCCTGAGGCAGCAGGACCTCTGCAGCCAGCCCAGCCCCGTGCTGCTTTCCGACCCATCCATCATCCCCACCTTGCCAGAGGTCTGGATCTCTGGGCAGGAGAGCCCAGGTTAGAGAGGGAAGATGCAGACGGAGAGAAATCTCCAGCTACATCCAAATGCCTTGTCCTGCTCGTGCCTGGCTGCTGAAGAGAAGCGGCAGCACTCACCTCAGCTTTGGCCCAGAAATTATCTTTATTGACTCTCTTGAGCTCGGACATTGCATTCGTCTTCTGATAGACAGAGCCCTGGGGGGAGGCAGAAGGTGGCACATGTGAGCAGTAGTCACTGAGCAATCACAGTTTCTCATTTCTCTGCAGAAATGTGTCCCCATGGCTTTCTGGCAGCTTTCTCCTGCTGCTGCGGGACCGGCCACACCCTCTTTGCTTTCCCCTGGCAGAGGGCACCCAGCCCCACACAGCCACGGGCCAGCAGGCTGGGTTGAAAGGGTCAACGGAAGATACATAACATGAAGAATAAAAAAAAAAAAAAAAAAAAAAAAAAGAGACACTTTGTGGTAGAATATAACAGCAAAACCAGCACGGTCCCGCATTCAGCACAGTCTGTGACTTTTTAAAAGTTACTGCAACCCGATGCTTTGCCCCAGACTTTAAAGACGGGCCGGCCAAGGCCCAGTGATGTGCATGTCACCAAAAACAGGGACTTCCAACCTAGTTTTCATCATGCCTCAAGCAAAAATCAGGTCGCCAGTGGAGCCCAGGCTGGAGCAGCCAGCAAAGAAGCGACCAGGACACATGGGAACCTGGCACTGCCACACCAAAGCGGGGCCAGGGGGAGAGCGAGCGTCTTGCATGCTCAGATTTGCTCTTTACCCACATCTCAGAGCAGCGGCGAGCAATTCAGAGTCAGAGAGCATGTGCAGCTGAGCTTCTCCTTTGTACAGCTGAGAAACCTCACTTGCTTGGTGTGTGTGTTAAAAAAACACCTTCCTACAGAACATTTCCACGTAGAAAGAAAGGGAGTTGCTGAGATCTCTGGCCTCGACACTTCACAGCACCGAGGGAAGCCTCAGTTTTCGCCTGCAAGCAGGTCAAAATGCCACTGCACTGACACGTCTTGCTCCCTGTCCCTCGGCTGCACCACAGCCTCGGAGAAGCCCCAGGCCTCGCAGATCCTCTGCAAATTTGAAAAGCTGGAGCTTTTGTGTCTCTCAAAACCTGAACAGAACTGCGGGGAATCAGTCCTGCTTAAAAAAAACAATGGTTGGGCCTATGCAGAGGAGAGCTTAGTCCTTCTGTTTGCTGCAAGGACATCTCAGCTCTGCCACCACCCCGTGCTCTTGCCCTGATTCACTCTGCAACGAGAGAGGAACCAGCCCTCGGCAAAGTCATCGGTGCTTCCTCGGTCACGTCAAAGCACGGGGAGCCCCCTCCACCCCAGGGTGACGGCGGTCCCGGACCCTGCCCTTCCCGACTGCGAGCCCAGAGGGACGAGAAAGCCCCCACAGAGCAAACTCACCACGGGAGCTTGAGGGCCCGAGTCCTGGAACTTGCTGCTCTCCTTGTGGAAGTTGTAGTTGGCCCCAGAGGCCTTGGCGACCTTCTCCATGATGAGTTCGGGCTCGACGTCCTCCTCCGCGCGCGCGTTGATGGTGACATGAGCCCCCTGAGCAGGGAGAAAGCCGGCACAGGAGTGAGAGGGCGACTCCAGGGGCCACTAAACCCACCACGCGGCTTCGACGGGCCCTGCCTGCGCTCCTCGAGCTCCCAAGGGAAGGAAAAGGGCTCAGGCGACAAGGGGAGGTCACCGGCCACTCTAAGATAACACAACTCTGGGAAAGCAAATGCCTGCGAGGGAGCGAGAGGCTCGTTTCACCTCCTCTGCAGTCTCCAGAGCCGTTTTCGACTGCGAGAGGTTTGCGTTGCGAATCAGCCTCTGAAACGCACGCCTGGGTTACGCACCGCAGGGAGTACCAAGCGCCGGGGCAGCGCTGCCCAGCCTCTCCTGGGCACGGTCCTGCCTGCAAACAGACGCCTCCGTGCCACCCCAAAGAGCAGCGCAAGCCACGCGGCACGCAGGTTCCCGAGCCGGGGGCCCACCGATCTGGGGAGGACGCAATGGAAAGGGACCAGACCTTTAGGAAGTTTGCTACAGTGCTGACGTGGTTGGCGCAGGCTCCTTTCCTCACGTCCTTCACGCCTTCGCCAGTCTGCAAAGAGAAACCGTCGGCACCTGCTCACCTGAGAATCCCATCCCAGGCTGGTTTTATAGCAGCAGCACCTTGATCTAAGCCTGCAAATCATCCATGCTGGCCACGGCGAGGGCCTCACCAGTGTTTACTGCGTGGAAAAAGCCCCTGCTCTGCAGCGAGCGCTGCCCCAAGGGAGACGGTGAGCCTCCTGCCCAGGGACAATGAGGGCTCCAGGCTCCTGCTCATCCCAGGGACAATGAGGGCTCCAGGCTCCTGCTCATCCTCAAGCGCCTCATTCAACCCGTCTCAGACGGCTTCAGGGCCATTTACCGGCAGCGTCACTGCCAGCTGGGCGAGCTACGTGGCCAAAGAGACGCAACGGGGAAGAGAATCCTCCCAGCCTCTCTTCACCTGTGTCCACGGGGTCTGGACTACACGCCCACAGCAGTGAGCACGGTACGCCCTCGGTACTGCAGCTTGGTGGAGCGGATTCAACGTGCTGGCTGCCGAGCGTTCGGCAATTACGGTTCGAGAGAGAATCAAAGGGAGAAACGGTCGTTTATTTCCACCACGTCCCCCCCAGGTCCCCACTCACCCAGTTGATGAGGACATATTTGGGCAGGCCGGAGTTGGGATCCTTCACCCTGCAGAAGGCGTACATCACCTTCCCGCTGTTGAGCTCCTCCACCATCTCCTCCAGGCCACCATCTGTCCCGGGAGAGAAACGAGAGGGCGTGAGAAAAGCAGATCACGTACACGTGGTGGGAACGGCCCAGCCTGTGGAGGTTGCAGCCTCCTGGCTCTTTATTTCCTGAAGATTATTCCTGTCCTACACCGAGAGTACTTCAGACCCCTCACGTTTGCCCTAGTCCTTCCGTCACCTGCTCGTTTGTGCAGGAGCCGAGTCTCAGCCTGCTCTCACCCACGCCTCCCTCCCCAGCAGCCTTCACCGCCAGAGTTCCTCTTCCTCAGACCTTTGCTGCGACAAGCACAAATCCACACATGGAAAGATCCCGGGTCCATAACACAAGTCAGGCGACGACAGAGAAGGGAAAGGTGATGCTCACATGCCCCAGACTAATTAGAGGCTTTAACCAGAGCAGGCAGCTGCAAACTCTGCCCACAGGTTCCTACATGAAACCGCACTGTGAGGTCTCTGGCGAGCACCACCACCGCCGGAAAACAGCTCAGTGATGATCGGAAAGGTCCCAAGAAGTGGCGGAGGAACTGGCTACACCTTGTTCCCATCTCACCTTCTAAGTCCGGTGGCGGCTGTGACGAGCCCTGCTTCGTCAAATGGGAAGTAGAGAAGAAACCGAAACGCTAGCACAGGGTACGGCCATGCTCACCAACCGTAGGAGGAAACTCCTGCCCTCGCGCTTTCCTCGCTGGTGTTAAGCCCGCAGGGCCCCTCCAGGCACCTCTTTGCAGGGGCTGCTCTCAGCTACGAGCTCAGGGGTGAAGGAGGAGAGAAAGCCCACCTCTGCACAGAAGGAAAAAAGAATTGTGCAAGGCTCAGCAGAGGGGTTGTGCAAGACAGGCGAGCGATGGAAAGTGCTACGTTGCCCCACGAACCGTAGCATTGCTCTCGCTAAAAGCGTATGCCAAAAAACCACCAGAAAAGGAGGAAAAAGGCAAAAATGTGCTCTCGTTTCAAAAAAATTCCCACAGACCACGATTCCTCCTACTTTGGTTTGTCTGACCTCTGAAAAGCGGAAAGCGAGCTACTGCTTACCATCAAACACTGGCAGCAACTGCACAGCCGAGTCTGTTTTGCTCTGCACTGCAGCAGGACCCCAGATCATTTTCTTCTCCGCTATTAAATATTTATGCTTTGGCTTTAAATTTAGCACGGTGGTTTCCAAGCCCAGCAGAAAAGTTTAAGGCTGGAAGTCTGAAGCCGGTCGGCTGACGGCAGCCCTCGCCGGCTGCTGGGAGGGGACCGGGCCCGGGTGTTTGCCGGGTCAATGTTTAACGCCGCGGCGGCGGGCACGGAAGGACACAAAGGGAAGTGCTGGGAGGAGCAGAGCTCTGCGGAGAGGTCCGGTAGCAGGGAGCGGCAGAGTTTTTCTGTGCCCAACCAAGCAGGGTCCAGCATAAAAACCACACAGGACTTTTTAATTTGCACACAAAACTCGCCAAGCAGCTAACACCCGCACGAGCCCTAAATTCAGATCCCTCTCCCATGCAACCCTAACTCTTCGACAGCAGCAAATCTGTGTCTCAGCCCCATCGGCAGGCCCCCGCAGCCGCGCTCCAGCACAGATCTGGTGCTCAGGCAGTTGCATCCTCTGCAGCCTCCCCAAGGCTCCACAGCCCTCGCCTGCAGCTCGGGTTTTTTTGCGGAACAAAAGGCGCCAGCACCAAACCACCCGCAACACGGGCTTCACCAGACCCTGCAAAGCTGCCCAGAAACGTCTCACCTGACCACAGTCGCTGCGAGCTTCGTGGGTTGTGAGAAACACTTGCAAATGAGAAAGGCAGCCGGCGAGGGAACACAGCTGAGCGCTGGAGGATGCAAATCTAGCGAGTGGAGAAACCTGCCTGGATGTGTTGCTTTCTACCAGCTTTAGCTTTGCATCAAGAAGCATTTGTGTGGGAATCGGCAGGCGGATAAAAAAATAAAAAAAAATCC